CTTATTTAAAATAATCGATTAATAATTATGAGTTTTTACTATAAAATTTTAATTATAAAAATCAACTATGGTTTCCACGGACTATAACTTAATATATTCATAAATAAAAATTGATCATTTTCATATGATTCTGTGGTTGGGTTGTATTAATTGGTTTTATGTTGAATATATATTAGATATATATATATATATATATATATATATATATATATATATATATAGATCTAGATATATATATATATAATAGAGAGAGCGAGAGAGAGAGAGAAAGAGAGGAGAGTTTAATCGAGAATATTTTTTATCACAAGAACATTTGAGAACAAATTTTAACTAAACAATTTTTTAAATTAAAATCATCAAATAATATTAATATAAATAAAAAAATTAAAAAAAAAACACACTAACCAACACTACTCACCACCCAAACAATACCATCCACCACCACCACCCACCACCACCACCCGTCACTGCCACCCACCCATCACCCATCACCCCCACCCCCACCCCCACCCACCACCCACGAAAAACTACCACCAAACATCTCACCACCACCCGCCACCGCCAACCACGACTACTATCCACCACCACCACCACTACCACCCATCACCACCACCTACCACCACCAACCCTACCCGCCACCACCACCCACCACAACCACCACCACCATCCACCTCCACCACACATCACTACCACCAATCCACCACTATGACCATCACCTGCCATTACCACCCACCATTCATCACCACCACCTGCCACCACCATCCATCACAACCACCCGCCTCCACCACCACCCACCACCCATCACCCCCACCACCCACCACCCACCACCCTCACCCATCATCACCGACCACCACTCGCTACCATCGCCCCCATCCACCACCCACCAAAACCACCACCCACCACAACCACCACCACCATCCACCTCCACCACACATCACTACCACCAATCCACCACTATGACCACCACCTGCCATTACCACCCACCATTCATCACCACCACCTGCCACCACCATCCATCACAACCACCCGCCTCCACCACCACCCACCACCCATCACCCCCACCACCCACCACCTCACCCATCATCACCGACCACCACTCGCTACCATCGCCCCCACCCACCACCCACCAAAACCACCACCCATCACCATCACCACCACCCCAACCACTCACTACAACCACCATGCACCCACTTCCACCACCTATTACTACCACCCACCCACCACCCACCATTATGACCATCACCTGCCACTACCACCACCCACCACCCACCACCCATCACTACCACCCGACTTCACCAACACCCACCACCCCCAACACCCACCACCACCACCCATCACCACCGACCACCACCACCCGCCACCATGACCTACACCCGTCACCCACTAAAACCAACGATCACCACCCAACTCCACCACCCATCACAACCACAATATTCTTTTTTGTTCATATAAATCATATGTGATTAGATACATATAATCACATGTGATTAGATATATTTAATCAAATGTGATTAGATATATTTAATCACAAATGTCATTATCGCGTTCTCAATTCAATAATTGTTTTTTTATAAACTTTAATCATATGTGATTAAATACATATGATTACATGTGATTATATGTATCCAATCACCTATGATTTATACGAACAATATACATTTTTGAGTTTTCGTTTCAATAATTTTTCTCATATATTTAATCACATGTGATTATAAGTATTTAATCACATATGATTAATGTGGACACATATTTGTTTTAATGTTCTTGATTCAATAGTTGTTCTTGTGTGTGTGTGTGTCTATATATATATATATATATATATATATATATATATATATATATATATCATCACATATGATTTATTGAATCAAGAACGTGAAAACAAATCTTTTTCAGATAAATCATATGTGATTAAATACGCCAGACCAACTATTGAATTAAAAGTGCAAAAAATGAATATTGTCCACATAAATCATATGTGATTAAATACATATAATCACATGTGATTATATGTACCTAATCAAATATGATTTATGTGGACAATATTCGTTATTTCTTTCTTGATTCAATAGTTGTACTCATGTACTTAATCACATGTGATTATATGTATCAAATCGCATATGACTTATATTGATAATATTCGTTTTCACATTTTTTATTCAATATTTTTTTTCTCATGTAGTTAGTCATATGTGATTGTATGTATTTAATCACATATGATTAATGTGGAAAAAAACTATTGAATCGAAAACGTGAAAATGAATCTTGTGTACATAAATCATATATGACTAAATGTACAAGAACAACTATTGAACGAGAATGCAAAAACGAATATTGTCAATATAAATCATATCTGATTAGATACATATAATCTAATCTAATTAAATACACAAGAACAAAAACTGAATCGAGAACACAAAAATGAATATTTTATATTTGATTAGATACATATATTCACATGTGATTATATGTATTTAATCACATATGATATATGTGGACAATATTTATCTTTGTGTTCTCGATTCAATAGTTGTTCTTGTGTATATAATCATATGTGACTATATGTATCTAATCACATATGATTTATATTGACATCATTCTTTTTGTCCATATAAATCATATGTGATTAGATACATATAATCACATGTGATTAGATGTATTTAATCAAATATGATTAAAGTAGACAAAAAACATATATTGAATCGATAATGCAATAATGAATCTTATCCACATAGATCATATATGATTTGATACATATAATCACATGTGATTATATGTATTTAAACAGATATGATTTATATAGACAATATGTATTTTTGCGGTTTCGATTAAATAATTGTTTTTGTGTATTTAATCAAATGTGATTATATGTATATAATCACAAATGATTTGAGGTGGACAAGATTCATTTTTGCCTTCTCGATTCAATAGTTGTGCTCATGTACTTAATCACATGCGATTGTATATATATATATATATATATATATATATATATATATATATATATATATATATATATATACTAGCCGTTACCCGCGCAAAGCAGCGGACGGCGAATAGTTTGTTTCGGCATATAGTTTAATGTGGCGATTAGTTTCCTTTATGCACGAGCTAGTTCATTACGGCTTTTTGGCAGTCTGTTTTGTGTTGGATAGTTTATTTCAATAGATAGTTTCTACCTAGGTGGATAGTTGGACAATACAGCGGAATTGTAGTAGGAATGTAAGATAATGAAAACCGTGATGTGTCCCTCTTTTCTTTTCTTCCTTCCTTCCAAGTGAAACCCTAAAATCAAACACTTCAAAACAAGTTGTTAAAAATTAAACATAAACTTAACCCACACAAAAATTAAAATGAATGATGAACTATAAATCAATATAAATCAAAAGTTAATATAATTTTCATTATTGCAAAATTTTAAAGTTTTATTCGTTTGCAGGTTGTACATTGAAATCCAAGCATTCATTAATATGTGTTCTTAATAGTAGAGTATAGGTGATGTATATTTTTGGATTTGTTTGAACCGTTTGTTTTAATTTCATTTACTTTTCTAATTGTATACAACATATTATACGTTTGAATGACAAATCAATTTTTCAAATCAAACAAAAACATAACAATTTCATTATTCAAATCAATAGAAGACATGATAATAGAAGGGTTAATGACTTAAAAAGGTAATTAAGTTTCAATATTATACAAAATATATCCTGTTTAAAAGTGACCAACCAACTTAACAAATCGTTCACATAATACCATCTGAATTGACTTTTCTTTCAACGATTACTGTTCATCGTCCTCTTCATCTCTTCCTTGCTTTCGTTCTAGCTCTAACCGGAGACCTTTGTCAAACCGGAGACCTGCTGTACCTCCCCCTTGCGCACTTCCTTTTTCGATCCAAAAACCAAGCAACCCCTTGCATGCTATTGTTCATCGTCTTCTCCATCTAAAAACCTGCAACAAAAATCATAAAAGGAACCAACAAAAAAAATGATGTTGCTCACTGAGAAGTCGGAACCACCTCTTGCTGCTTTGCTTTGCTCCAAGAAACATCAACAAACTAACCGATTTTCCAGCCCCTGTTGGGATGACTTTTTCAAGCCATATTCAAACCTCGGTAACCCATAGCCGAGAACCACCAAAACCCATAACCACCTCATTGGTTCCAGCCGAGACCTGAGACTCACTCTCGCAACCTCTTCATTCTCGCACCACCTCCAAACAAACTCACATGCTGCCTTCTTCGTTTCAGTCCAACCGGAGACCTTGAAATCCACGGGATATTACCTTCAAAAACTCGAACACCATCACCACCTCTTACCTGTTTTTGCGGGAATCATCAAGAACTGAAGCTACTGTTCATCTTTCCCAATCGAAACCTTGAACAAAAAAGAAAATACAAGAGAATCCAAATATCAACTGTTCATTCATCTTCAATCTTTCTCTGCTGCTTCTTTCTTCGTTTTTACCGAGAACCTAGCACCTGAAACCACCATCGAAAACCACCTCACCACCATCGAACATACCTACTGTCACCACTCTTTTCCGTCGCCACCACTTCGCCGGTTCCAGCCGAAACCCGAGACTTCCTTAGCAGATTCTTCCCTTCGATTCCAAACTAACCCATCTTGAAAAAATGGTCTGTGGGGATGGCTTTTTCCAACCATATTCAAACCACCCAAGTTACATTAATTCCATGTAGTAGACTAAAAAGCCACAGTAAGTGTTATTTTTTTTCCTGGTAAACTATACCTCAAAACCAGCTGAACCAGTTAGACAAGGGAACAGAAGAACAAAAAGTCAATTTAGATGGTATTGTGTGAACGAAAACTTAAGTTCAATGTAATTTGTGAATAGGATATACTTAAATGGTGTTTTTTTTAACAAAAATGAAACTTAGTTACCATTTTAAGTCATTAACCCATAATAGAATATTAGAATGTCATGAGTTATTCCATTATCTTCTTCATTTCATTCGTTTGTGAATCCATTCAATTACACCAAACAAACTCCCAAGTTTAAAGTCCATGATTTAAAAGATTCAAATTTAGAATACAATTAACATTACCCAAAATACTCAGTTTGATTATGAGACCATGATCAAAAGAAACCAACTAAACTACAAAATCTGAATACAAAAACTACAGGTAATTCGAAGAGAAAAACAAAAGGCGAAAATCAACTTTGAACTCATATAGAAACCATGAAATTACTTACTGTTTTATTGAATTATTGTTTCAATTTCATCTGTTTGATCCTCTATTTTGTTGACCTCCTGAATCCAAATCTTCACTGTTTTATCATTTTCAAGAGCACCTGAAGCAATCATATTCTCAATTAGGTGATAAGCAACTATTATTACAGCATTTGCGTGACGTTCAAGTTTCTGGACTACTTTTCTTATTTGAAGTTCCCATAAGTATACACAATTGTCCTCTGAGCCACTCACGATGTATTTGCCATTTGTGATTGAAAATGCTGATGACATGGAGTATTTTGAGTTTGTGTGGACATTGTTAGTCTTTAAGAACTTGCCAGTTGATAGATTCCATAACCTCTGCATCAAAACAAAATGACATTTTTTAGGGAAATTGGTGGGATTCAATGTGAACATAAGGCCAATCAGATTCAAGGGAAAAGATTATCATTGTGAATACTATGAACAAGATATGAATTACTGATGTCAAGGAAAAGAAATAAGAATTCACTCACCAATGTACTATCAAGGGTACCTACAAGAAAAAACTTTCCATTTGGGGAAATTTGACAAAGCTAACAGGGGGGTTTTCATCATCGATCAGAGTCTTCATACAATACCCTGTGGATGCATCCCAAATCATGCACAATCCATCTTAACTACTGGACACAATTAATGTCCAGTCTCGATTAACGTTCACAACAGTTACGGGATCAGAATGCGCAGGAAGTACCTTCAAGCATTTGTCGGATTTCACGTCCCAAACCCTAACTATCTCATCGAAAAGAACCAGAGACAATCATGTTCGATTGAGGGTTGTAATTCACGCAGAAGACGTAGTTTGTGTGTCCAGTTAGCGTTTTGACGAGTGAGCTAGCGGATACATCCTAGAAGCGTACAGTTTTGTCATCGGAAGCGGTGGCAAGGTACCGAGCGCCAGATGAGAATGCGACGTCTGAGATTCCTTGTTCGTTTCCGATGAATTCTTGGATAGGAGATCCGTCGGAGCTGGACCATGTGCGGGCGGTGTTGTCGGCGGAAGAGGTAGCGATTAGCTTGCCATCACCATTGGAGACTCAACATGATCAAATATGGGGTAATCATTCCTCGTTTTGATGTTGGTGTCAAGGGAATTAAATTTCAGGTGAATTTGCCATTAAAGAAAAGAATTTTGTAACGAAAAATACCTTCTCAATTGTGATCAATTCAAGTTTGGGAGTAAACCAAAAGAAATCCAAAACCAATACAGAAAATCAAAAAGTGCAAGAACCCAAAATCCAAAGATATCAAAAAATGCAAGAAGCCAAAATCGGGCGACAGAAGTCCTATACGGTAAAACATGAGCCAACTGAGATATGATGAAACATAGAACATAAATAGGTGAAAGTCAAATCGAAACACAAAGAGAGATGAGGAGTTAGAAAATCGAAGAACAAATAGGGTTTCTATGGGTTTTATGGTTTGGTGAGGGAGAGAGAGAAGTTGAAGACTGGTGAACAAAATCTTGTAATGATGCAATTGTGAGCATTGGCTTTTTGTAGGTGGTAGAGCCATTAAATTTGCTGAAGGCATAAGGATATCTCGGCGACATACCAGGGATCTTTTTAATAAAAATTTTAAAATTATGTTGACTCTTTCTAGTCAAAAGGTTTATTTTTTTAAAATTTAAATCCAGAACTATATTAGGAAAGATAAGACACATTGTACTTAATGCATTATATTTTGTAATTTAATGATGGTTAGTTGTACTAATAGCTTAAGCACTTGGACGTCTTAATTCTATTTTTAGAAATAGTAAGGTTTGTATAATAATATAGTAAGATATATATATATATATATATATATATATATATATATATATATATATATATAATCACATCTGATAAAATACATTAGAACAATTATTGAATCGACAAAGCGAAAATGAATTGTGTCCACATAAATCATATGTTATTAGATTCATATAATCACATGTTCTTAGATGTATTTAATCTCATATGATTAATGTGGATAAAGGTTTGTTTTCGCGTTCTTGATTCAATATTTGTTATCGTGTATATAATCAAATGTGATTATATGTATCTAATAACATATGATTTATATAGACAAGATTCGTTTTTTTCCAAATAAAATCATATGTGATTAGAAACATATAACCACATCTGATTAAATGTATTTAATCACATATGATTAAAGTGGAAAAAACAATTATTGAATCGATAACGCAAAAATGAAACATAGCCATATAAACCATATGTGATTAGATACATATAATCACATGTGATTATATGTATCTAATCGCATATGATTTATGTGGACAATATTCATTTTTGTGTTCTCGATTCAATAGTTGTTCTCGTGTATTTAACCACATTTGATTATACGTATCTAATCACATATGATTTATATGAATAAGATTCAAATTCATGTTCTCAATTCAATAGTTGTTATCATGTATTTAATCATATGTAATTTTATGTATTTAATCACATACGAGTAATATGTACAAAGAAAAACTATTGAATCGAAAACACAAAAATGAATCTTGTGCATATAAGTCATATGTGATTAAATCATATAATCACATGTGATTTAATACCTGAGAACAATTAACGAATCAAGAACGCGAAAATAAATCTTGTTTGCTTCTCTCACTAGAGAACAAACTACTTTCTACATTTCCTTGTCCACTCTATTGGATTAGGGTATACGTGAATTATAACCAAGGTTCTAAATAACGTAAGGCGTGAGTTGGCAGAAATATCAAGCCTCAAGCTTTTTAGAGGCTTGGCGAGTCACGTCGTTTGTAAGGCGTGACATAACTCGGCAATTTTGTATATAATTAATATTTTTATATGTATTTTCTATTATTATTCATTTTATACACATATATGAGTTAAGGCGGCGTTTTGGTAAAGCTGGACGGCATGTACAAGCCTTGGAGCCATGGCGTGCTATGGCGGAGCCATGACGAGCTTTTTAGAACCTTGATAATAACATAAAACAAGTAATGCCTACATAATAGAAGAGTTAGTCTAACTCACCTCCTTGAACTTGAAAATCAACTAGCGTGACCTAGATGGATCCTTTCCTTTCCGAGAACCTACACAACAATTATAACATTATTTAGCTTGTTCTTTGTTGTATTACTCTTATAAAACTTATGTAAATATTTCCTTATTTTCTCTTTGATTGTAGTGCTCTGTTTGCAATCTATTTTCTTACCTTTCAACCTACTTTTAAATTCCGATAAAATAATATTAGTAAATTTCCCCCTTTTATCTTTTCATAAATATAAATATCTCTTTCCAATGATTATTTGTTGATTTTATATTAAATTTACAAGTTAGTAACTTTAAGCTGTCACTTTCTGGACAACTCAACACTCTTGGAATAAATTGTACCAATCTACTAAGAATTACATCAGTCCCTTTATATGTAGGAAAATATACATCCATATCTAACTATAGGCTTTGGAATTTTGGTATTTGGAGTTCTGATGAATTTATTATGATTTTTTGAAGACAATGAATGAAATATGTGATAGCATGGACCAGCCAGAGAAGATTTCCAAGTTTACCCCTCAAGGTGTTGGAATTTCGAAATGTGGTTCAAATTTTGAAGAAACTAGACACACTAAGATTTCCAGAAAACTAAGTCTCGTGATTTTTAGGTGTTCTTATTGACTTGCACTAATTTTAGAAGTTGGAGGAAAATTTTGGGAAAATTGATCATAATAGCTTTTAAATCACTTTTGGTGTTCTTTTAAGGACTTAATGGTTAAGTCTTATGTTTATCACTTTTTATATGATTTTTGGTTACTTATTAGGTTATTGAGATGTGAAATTCAATTTAACTTAAGGGCCTTAATGCTTTGCTTAATGAGGGTTCAAAGTTAAGGATTTTCACATAAAATGTCACTTTTACACTTATTAGGGTTAAGTTGCCAACTTAACCCATTAAGCTCTTTAAGTCACCTCTTGGAAGGAAAAAAGAGTCCTACACAGAGGCAAATTAAATAGAGACATCAAAATATGTTTGGGGAGACTATGCAAGAATATAAAATTTAGTTTATAATCTCAACAACCAAACATTCTAGTTGTTGAATATGTTTGGGGAAATAAAGTCCACTATAAAATGTTGGGCTAATTAATGTGTTGTGTCAAATGTTTTATATGTATATAGTCTTATTTATAACGGATTGGGCCTGTCCATCTGGGTTTATGAGTTGCTAGGGTTAGACTATTTAATGTGCATGCATGTATCGTTCTAGGGTTATCAATTGTATTCGCTCTACTTAGCTTTTATAGAAAAGTTCACGTTGAACTCTTCTAAAGCTATTCAATCTAAGCACTCGACACTATTTGATCTTCATTGTTTGTGTTATTTTGTTCACATCATTTGTAGAATCTATAGATCTAAGTTTTTATTGTTTCAATAATTGGTATTAGAGCAGGAGATAGTGTAATTCATTCGCTATTCTTATGACGAGTTTTTCAACTAGGGTTTATGATTTTTTCTTGGATCTGTTGTTGGTGTCTCAACTGCTTCAATCGGTTGTAGGATCCAGATCTAGATCTCTTGTTTTACCCTATATCTCGATTCACATTATTACACATATGATTCTATATTCGATTTTGTGAACTCTTGTGAATATGAATCACGAAGATCCTCATACTCTTTCTTTCAATATTTCCAGCAGTATCGGATCTACTACCAGAATCCCAATCCTTTTTCCGTAGGATTATGAAGCCTGGGCACTGCACTTTGAATACTTTTTTCTCGGCATTGAAGATCATGGCACCACAATATGGGAAGCCATGACGCAGCAAACATTCTCTCACACGGCTACAAGGAAGGTCGTCAAGACTCAAGCCGACTACAACACAATTCTTGTTGAAAATAAAGATATTCCTCCAGATGAAAAAGATAAGTTGTTGAGCAACATCAAGGCGGTGAGAATAATAAGGTTTGCTCTTCCTACAGACACCTTTCGTCTGGTGAGTGCATGTGAGACTGCGAAGGATATATGGGACAGGTAAAAAAAAGCTTTATTCAAGCGACGCAGATTTGGAGCACTCCGTGTAAACGTTGATTCTTTCTGAATTTGGAGCTTTCATTCAAAAGCCTGATGAAAAACTGGGTCAGAAATTCAATCGGTTTAACCATCTATTAAGCAGGATGCTTAAACACAATCTTAGGCGTGAAAACACAGAGCAAAAAGTTACGTTCATGAATGGGTTAAGGTCTGAATGGAAAGTGGTTGTGTCTATAGTGAAAGCTCATGAACAGCTTAAGAGCTACTCTCTGGCAAAGCTTGTGGGAATTCTAAGATCCTACGAAGATGAAGTGACGAAGGATGTAAAGCTTGTCTCTAGCATGGGATCATTAGCCTTGGTTGCGAAGGGCAAAAAGGTAGCTGAAGAAGATTCTGAATCCGACTTTTTGGACAGTGAACTTACCAAGTAGGAATATGCTCTAATGGTATCTAATCCCAAAAAGTTCATTAAAAAGAATTTTGGTCGATTCAAGAACAGGAACAAGCAGGGAAACTTCAGTTCAGAAAAGTCTAGATAAGAGAGCTTCAAGAACTCTCAAAAGGAAGAAGAGAAGCAGGAGAAGAAGCTGCTAGGTGATTCAGGGTACGAATGTAATTACTGTCATGGCAAGAATCATTTTGCCATAGAGTGTATGTTGAGAAGGATGAGTGAAAAGAAGGAAACAGAGAAGGATGAAGCTTATTATCTTCAAAAGATAGAGGAGCTTAGGAAGAAGAGTGTTACGAACGCAAAGCCTGCTTTGATTGTGTAGGAAGGTAGTGAAGAAGATGGACGTGTTGAAGTATGGTCCACAGATTCTGAAGATGAGGAAGTTCGGAAGCCCACACATGGTGGATGTTTTGTGGAAAACTATGAAGCGCAGAAGTAAGAAGGAAGATGTATGATGGTTCAGAGTGGGGTTTCGGAATAGAGGGGTTACGCGACTAATGGTGGCCAGGCCTCTGAAAATTGTTTTGA